GTATTCTATTTATAGAATTCCTGGACTTGACAAATGTGTTAGTTAGCTCAGGCTGCCATAACAAAGCACCATAAACTAGTTGACCTAAACAACAGAAATTTATTTTCTCACATTTCTGGAAGCTAGAAGATCAAGGTCAGAGTACAAGCATGGTTAGGTTCTGATAAGCATCCTCTTCCAAGCTTGCAGACTTCTTGTCTTGCTGCCTTCTCACTGTGTGATTGTATTAACTTTCCTTGGTATGTGCATGTGGAGAGAGGTAGAGAGAGGTCTCTTCTTCTTTTTATAAAGCCACCAATCCTATCAGGTCCTATCCTTGTGACTTCATTTAACTCAAATTACCTCCCAAACGCCTTAGCTCTAAATACAGCCAACATTGGAGGTTAGGGCTTCAACAAATGAATTGGGTTAAGGGGGAATCAATTCAGTCCAGAGCAGGAAATCACACACAACGTTTAGGTACAGCTATTCCTACATCTAAACATGTGCACCCAGGACTTGGCACAGCACTTTGAATGTGACAGATGCTCAATAAGCATTTGTTTGATGAGTGAACAACCAACATATAGTAAACAAAGCTACACAACAGCTAAGAAAAGAAGATTATCTGATGTGCTCTGCTTTACACCAAGTCAATGTGTGAAAATGTTGAAATACGCATACTGATATATTCAATACACAAAAGAATTCACTAGGACTTCCTTTGGGCATATAAAGCATTTAAAAATTCCATTTATACCTGTTTTCTTTCTAAAAAGTAAATTGAGGTACATGTATAAATGGATAATACATTCAGATGAAGTTAATAAAAGGAACAAGTAATCAGATTGAGAATATGAATGGTTCATCTTCACAGGTTACATGAATAAGTGCTTGGCAATAGTCTGGAGAAGAGAGGAGTGGAGATTCAAGCTTTGGAAATTAAATGCATCCACATTTCACTGGCCAAAGGCAAGTCCCATGACCACATCTGACTTTTAAGGATTGAGGGAGTATAATTCTTCCTTGTACAAGAGGTGAACTGGTCAATGAATAGTGCAGGAAAGCCTGCCACAGTGACTATAGGAGGTCTTCAATGGAAAATCGACTTTATTCTCCAAGGTATTTTTTGAAACATTTTATTTTTGCTAATTTGAGTGTTAGCTTCAATTCCTGACTGCCACATAGAAAATGAAAGCCAGAGATGGATTTGAGTTATACAGCTGCCGCTAGATGTGCAGCAATTTCCTTTCCACACCTCTCTTTGGTGTCTGAGTGGAGCTGAAGAGAGAATTTTGGTCTTTGTGGCTTCAGAATTGATTGAAAGTAAAATAACTAGGGTCTCTTGCTTTGCCTGAAAAAGCCAGAACCTGAAGGGTGCCCTCAAGGAAAGAGTAGCATTTAAGCACAACATGCTCTAGAGAAGAGAAATGCTGGCTCCTACAAATCCGTTGAAAGCCTCTCCCTCAACGGTGTTCTCGCCCTTGTCTCCTGAGAGAGCAGAGCAGCAAGTTCAGTGAACAGAGACAGAAATCTAACCCAGCCGTCTGGCATACCACCACAGGAAAGAGTCTTCCTCGGGACAGCATTCTCAGGGCTCACAAAGCAGGAAAAACTTCTCTTAGAAGGAATGGTCAAGTAGGAAAAGCAACATTCCCTTCATAGTGAGCCCTACCTCTGAGAGGATTCCAATGTGGGAGCTATAAAACTTACAATACTGCTTTAACAGAGTCAGAAATTCATTGGAGTTGCCTCGGAAACAATCAACAGGACTACTGACTAACAACTCTTAAGATTCTGTGCCATGCTCCCAGCAGATACTGAAACAGTGCCTGAGCAACATAATTCCTAAAAGAGCAGCTTCAAATTATTGGGGGTGGGGGCGTTATAGAATAAAAGGAAAGGAAAGTGACCTAAATGTACCCATTTGTGACTGTAACAAAGTCTAAAGCCATTTTACTTAACTCAACTAGGGGAAGGGCCTTGGCAGTAATTGAGACAGAAGAGATTATTCATAAACTTATCTGACCAGAGGACGACTATGGACAAAACTTAACTGTGTATGAACAATATTGAATCCTGTTTGTAACATAGGCTAGTGAACATTTGACTACAGTAGACCCTCTCTAACCAATCTCCACTCAAGCAATCTGTTGGATTAACCAACTATCCACAGTGTCACTGTGAAATATCCCAGCTAATACGACAGCATAATAAAACCTTACAAGTGGTAGGCTACTCTTTTAGACATCCATGTACTTTTTCAGTCCCCACTAGTTGAGCTGTATATTTACCAAGCATTAAATGTATTTGTCCCCAAACTTCCTAATATTTGTTGTACCTATTGTTTTAATTACACATAATTACATATCATGTAAACTAATAAAATGTAAATGTGAGAAGAAAGAGTTGCTTCTTCTATAAAAACCAGTCTGAATAACTTGGAAAGATTCAAATAAAAATGAATTGTAGGAGAGAAATGTAAAATAATAAATATGTAAAAATATGTAAAAATGTGTAAAAATGTGTAATAAATATGTAAAATGTAAAATATTTTAAAAATGTAAAATATTAGAGGAAAAAAATAAATTTACAATAATTTTGCCTCATTGGAAGTGATGTTACTTAGTTTTACAGTAACTGAAAATGGACATCCTTATAATCATGGTGTGATTTATAGAAGATAGATTCAGAACTCCAACTGCCTATTTCTTACCTAAAGAGAAGGACTTGGTCCTACATTAAATATTTTTTAATTATATTAATAAGCTTTAAGTAAACATTAAATTCTTAAGATATACAAAGTAATATTTCTGGTTTTAATTTTTCCAATTTTTTATTAGAAAAGTGTTCAAATTTATAGAAAAACAAATCCACGGTACTGTAAACACCTGTATACCTTCACCAAGTTTCACCAATTTTAATATTTTGCCACATGTTTTATCTGTCTCCATACATATATACACACATATGTGTATGTTTTATGAACCACCTGAAAGTAAGTTGCCAACACTGCAACACTTCACCCCTAGATACTGCAGCCAGAATCTCCTAGGAGTACAGATATTCTCCTACATGACCAAAATATTAATATCATATTTTGAAAATTGATAATAATTCAATAATTTCATCTAAAATATTGTCCTTATTTAAATATTCCAGAAGCTTCTGAAATGTCTTCCATATTACTTTTTCCCACATCCAAAAGCCAAATCAAGTTTTACGCATCGCATTTGCTTGTTATGCCTCTTTAGTCTCTTTTAACTTAGAGGATCTTTTTTTATTTTCTTTTTTTTCATGACATTGATTTTTTTATGAAGAGTCCAGGACAGTTGTCCTATTGACTACCTCATATTATGGAGATGTCTGATTATTTTCTCAATACTAGATTCAAGTTGAAACTTTTTTTTTCCCCAAAAACACTGGGTAAGTGATATGCACTTCTTACTGCATGATATCAGGTTGCAATATTATTGTCACTGGTAGCAGTACCTGTACTGGAAATAATAATTCTGATCACTTGCTGAAGGTACACTTTTTCTTTTGTTATTAGAAATTGATCTGCGAGAAGATACCACACTATCACATGAATATTCTATTCCCCAGCAACCTTTGATCCAATAGTTATAGCATCTATTAATGATCTTTGCCTAACTCAAGTATTACATAGACAGTTTCAAAAGAAGAATTTCCTAATTCTACAATTCCTTCTACCTTTATTAATTCATATTTTTTGCCTCCTCCCATCCCCAAAAGGGAGCTTTCTCTCAATTTTCCCTTTCTCTATTTATATTTATCTCTTTTTAAGTACATCGTGGACTCAGAAATTTCTTCTATTTAATGTTCTGTAATCCATTACTTTCATCATTTTTGATGCCCAAATTATTCCAGATTTGGACAATGGAAGAACCTTCCCATAAGCTTCTGTTTCTTTCTGAAATATCACCATTAGTCTTTGAACACTTCCGTGTTTTTAGCACTAGACTTTTTGTACTTTCCCTGAACCAGACCGGGAATCAGCCAGTTCTTGAGTAGAGAATGATACTTAGAAAACACAGGTACTTGATGTGCTTATTGCTACTACAGTATCTTGCTTCTAATCTATAATAATTCCTTAATATTATGAAATATCCAGGCAATGTTCAAATCTCTACAAGTATCAAATTTCTACAAGTGTCTGTCTCTTTTTCTCTTTCTGTCTGTCCTTGTTTTCCTCGCCACTTTTCCTTATAGTTCTTATGCTACCATCAGAATCCAAATACGGTCAATATATTGTAATTGGTTGATATGTGCCTTCTCTTATCTCTTTTTTTTTTCAATTGATTTGTTCAAGAAGTGTTTTTTATTCCCCTGTGGATTATCCCACAGTATGGATCTTGCTGATTGCATCCCCAAGGTATAATTCAGCATGTTCCTCTCCTTCTAGCATTTCCTGTAAATTGGTTGCTAGATCTAGAGGCTTTTTGGTTTCTTGGCAAGGATATCTCATAAGCAATGTAATGTACTTCCATTAGGAGGTGCATAACACCTAGTTGATTCTTAATATGGGATGTCAAAAACCAATGAAGATCATTACTGAGACCCATTAACTTATTAGGATTGCAAAACAGTGATACTCTACTTATTCCATCTTCATGTATTAGCTGGAATACTAATAAATACACATTTCCCCTCACCAAATATTTGGTTATTCAGGGATACATTTTGAATCAGAAAATAAGAATAAATGCTTGATACAACACTTTCTCTTTAACAGCTATTTTTTCCAGAACAATGAGTTGATAACCTAGAATTGTCCAAAAGTGACAAATGATTTCTTTGCTATCATTATGAATTCATGGATTTAAACCAATTTGATGTGTTTCAAATCCCTGCGATTCTTTTCCTAATGATGTTGAAAGTGTTCCATATTTCGTCCAAAAAGAATCTATTCAAGATGGTTCCTTTATCCTTTTGGAACAACACTAGTTGTCTTTGATAATTACCTTGCTTTATGGTATAACAAGATATTTCAGGCTTACCCTGTACATTTTCGGTCCAAGATTCTGGAATCTGCATTTCTTCATCAAGTTCTGGTTCCTTTAAATGGGAATTGAGATATAGAGACCACAATCAGTACACTAAAGGTATTCACTGATTTGGGATCATCATTGTTTTGCAGATCATTTTAGAGGAAAGAGCTACAAAATACTTTTTAAAAAAATGATATAATAAATCATGTGTTTATACTGATATTTTCAATTCAAATTCAGAACTACAGGACTTTTATTAACTTCATCAATCTTATTATCTGTATCTCCTTTCTCCTATATAAAACAGTCCAGCTCTCAATATCCAATTATTATATTATATCCCATTTACATTACCCCACAATACTCTCCAGTCTCAAAATAGCACCTACATTACCACCAACAATATGATTACCAAAAACAGTGTAAGATTATTTTGTCTTTTTTTGCTTTTTCCTTTGGTCCTTTGTATATAATCCATGGGGATATACAGTCAACTTTGGTTTAATTAACTATAATATAAATTTAATTGACATAACACCCTTCTTTGTGGTTTGCTACAAATTTCATACATTTAGATTCATTTATTTTTGTTTCTGGTTTTTAGTATTACTTTATATTTCATTTTGTTTATAACGATATAAAACTTACATTGTTACCAAGTCAAATCTATAAATCAAATTATGTTCAGAGAAATCTAGCTTCTGTCTCCTTCATACCGTGTCCTCTCCCAAAGAATAATCAGTATTTTTTGTTTAACCTTCCATTAAATATATACACATACACAAAAATACATCTGTATTCCTACATTCGCCCCTTAAAAATACAGTAACATAAACGCACTCTTTTCTACACCTTAATTTTTTTTTTTGATACTAGATATACTGGAGGTCCTCTATAAAAGATAGTCCTCATTCTCTTCTACAGCCGCATGATAATTTATTGTGTAGTGCCCACAGTGCCCTGCTGATGAGCAGGGAAAAGTTTGGAAATTTCCAGACTTTTGCTATCACAACGCTGGAATGAAAAGCTTTTCACTTTTGTTCTTTGCCTTTTTGCTTCTTTACTCCATTTTGCTACTGTACCTTCCAGAGCTCTAGAAATTAGATTGCTAGATCAAAGTATAAATGTACATATAATTTTGCTAGATGTTGACAAATTCCTCTCCAAATTATTATATTATTTTGATTCCTATCAGCAATACATGAGAACACCCATTTTCCCCATAGCTTCACCAATAATGAAGGTTATCAAAGTTTTGGATTTTTGCCAATATGACAGGTAAAAATTATGTTTCACGGTATGTTAATTTGCATTTTTCTCATTATAAATGGGCATTGTTTTATGTTTTTATTTTTAAGAACCATTTCACGAGCTATTCAAATTACTAGCCCAGGGCTTCCCTGGTGGCGCAGTGGTTGAGAGTCTGCCTGCCGATGCAGGGGACACGGGTTCGGGCCCCGGTCCTGGAAGATCCCACATGCCGCGGAGCAGCTGGTCCCGTGAGCCATGGCTGCTGAGCTTGCGCGTCCGGAGCCTGTGCTCCGCAACGGGAGAGGCCACAACAGTGAGGGGCCCGCGTACCGCAAAAAAAAAAAAAAAAAAAAAATTACTAGCCCATTTTTCTAGAGTGGTTGTCTTTTCTTCTTCTCCATTTTAGAGGCTCCTTGTATATTAATACTTGGTCTGTGATAAAAATTGCACATTTTTTCAATTTGCCTTTTGTCTTTCTATGAATGGTAAAAGTATTTCTTTTGTTTTGCTTTTGCTATGCTAAGTTCTTTCTTTTTATAAGATTAAACAATCTTTTCCTTTCTGGATTTCATGAAATTTTCACTCATGTTTGCTCCTACAACTCATAAGACTTTTTTTACCATTTAAATCTCTCATGTATTTGGAAGAAGACTAAATTAAATCCAGAGCAAGCAGAAGAAAAGAAATAATAATAGAGAAGAAATCAATTTAGTTGAAAATGGGTAATCAATAGATAAAAAGCCATGAAATCAAAACCTGCTTCTCTGAAAAGATCAATAAAATTGATAAACTTCTAGACAGACTAAGAATAAAAGAAAGAGGACACAAATTACTAATATCAGAAATGAAAGAGGAGATATCACTACAAATCCTATGGACATTAAAAGGATAATAAAGGAATATTATGAACAACTAACTGTATGCCCACAGATTTGATAACCTAGCTGAAATGGACCAATTCCTTGAAAGACACAATCTGCCAAAACTCAACAAGAAGAAACAGACAATTTTAATAGGCCTATACCTATTACAGGTATTGAATCAATAATTAATAACTTTTCAAAACAGAAAACACACCAGGCCAAGATGGGTTCACTGGTGATATCTACCAAACACTTAAGGAAGAAATTATATTAATTTTTTTACAATCTTTCTCAGAGGATAGAAGCAGACAGGAAGTGGCACAACAGAAAGTCTTATTCGTTGCTGGTGCGAATGCAAATGGTACAGCCACTTTGGAAGATAGTTTGGAGATCTCTCACAAACTAAATATACTCTTACCATATAATCCAGTATTCACACTCTTTGGTATTTACCCAAAGGAGTCGAAAACTTAGGCCCACACAAAAACCTGCACGTGGATGTTTACAGTAGCTTTATTCATGATTGCCAAAACCTGGAAGCAACCAAGATGCCCTTCAGTAGATGAATGAATAAATAAACTGTGGTACATCTAGATGAGGGAATATTATTTAAGGCTAAAAAGAAATGATCTATGAAGCCATGAAAAGATATAGAGGAAACTTAGATGCATATAACTAAGTGAAAAAAGTTCATTTTTGAATGCTACATATTGTGTGGTTCCAATCTGAAAAAGCTACATACTGTAAAATTACATGGCATTTTGGAAAACGCAAAATTATGAGGACAGTAAAAACTCAGGAGTTGCCAAGAGCTGGGGTTTGGGAAGGAAGATATGAATAGGAAGAGCACAGAGGATTTTTAGGGCTATAAAAACACTCTGTGTGATACTATAATGATGGTGCATGTCATTATACATTTGTCCAAATCCATGGAATGTACAAACACCAAGAGTGAATCCTAAGGTAAGCTGTGGACTCAAGGTGATTATGATATGTCAATGTAAGTTCATCAATTGTAACAAATGTCCCACTCTGGGGGATGCTGATAATAAGGCAGGCTTAGCATATGTGGGGTCAGGGAGAATATGGGAAATCTCTGTGCTTTCTGCTCAATATTGCTGTGAATCTAAAACTGCTCTTAAAAAAATAAAGTCTTTAAAAAATTTATATGGAAATCCAAGGGCCTCAAGTAGTGAACACTATTTTTAAAAAATCAAAGTTGGAGGATTTACACCATCTGATTTCAAGATTTATTATAAAGCTACAGTAATCAAGACAGTGTAATATGGCATAATGATAAACAAACATATAGATCAGTGGAAAAAGTCCACAAATTGACCCTTACATATCTAATCAACAGATTTCTGACAAAGGTACAAAGATAATTCAATAGTGAAATTATAGTTCTTTCAATAAATGGAGCTAGAACTGGATATCTGTATAGGAAAAGACAAAGATAAGCCTCCACCCCCACTTCTCACCATACACCAAAATAAACTCAAAAATGTCATACACTGAAATTTTAAAGTTAAAACTGTAAAACTTAAAGAAAAAAATAAGAAAAAAATGTTATATTCTTTGGATCAGAAGATGTTTCATAAATTAAACACAAAAATATCTAACTATAAAAGAAAAAAATGATAAATTGGACTTCATAAAAGTAAGAGCTTCGACCCTTCAAAATACACAATTAAGAAAGTGAAAATGCTAGCCACAGACTAAGAGAAAATATTCAAAACAAAAAATAAGAAAATATCTAAATAAATATATCTGAAAAAGATCTTGTATCAAGAATACATAAGGAACACTTAGAACTCAATAATAAGAAGACTAGCAACCAATAAAAATAAAGTTGATTTTATTAATGAATTCAGTGAGATCTCTACCTCATCTGTTATCTTGAGTCCAAAATTGATCCTATGACCAGAGCTTAGCAGGACTGCTGACTGCTTGACACTGCTAGAGGTAAAAGTGTCCAGTTTCAGGAATATTGCTGAATTCGTTTCAATTCAACTGTTCACACACAACGAGGAACAAATTAAAAAACAGAGAGCAGGGACTTCATCAAGTTTATAGACCAGGTTGTAAGAACTGTTTTGAGTCTGCTTTGCTAATAATGCTTGTCAACTAAAAGTCTATATGTAAGACAGCAAAGTGAGAAAAGGAAAAGGAATAATAGGATAATACAGGGCTCAACAGCCAACACAGCTGTAGAAATGTGAACACTGAAAATTAATTTAATCACAGTTGTGACAGAACTATATTGAGTGATGAACTGAAATACTCTATATCTTCTGGAAGCTAGGATATTAGGGAGGAATTGAGAACTAAATCAGAAATCACATCTTATAAAAAGTACACTGACTCACAGAATTGTACCAAACCAAGCAATAATATTTATTAGACTCTCACAATGAACACCAGTTCATTCAGACTCCTATATGCAAGATTAAACCACAAATAAACTGATGCAAGGATAATTCTGCATGGTCTCATAGTTTTTAAAAAATAAAACCACTGATGCTCTATCAGCAAATTCTGACCAATCCCTGCTAAGATCACCATAAATTTTATAACACCCTTTCCCTATCTCCTTTTGAGACTCATCTTTGTTCTGCATGATGTTGGGTCTCCTCTGCTGCAGCAAATAATAAAACTAACTTGATTTCAGGTGTGCTCTGAATGGTCTCTTGCTGATATAGAAAGAAGAATGGGAAGACAAAAAGAATAGAGTGAGTGGTGGTAGATCCTTTTCCTCCATGGTTGGAAGTGAACAGACAATGCATAAAATTTACAAATCAAGAAGCAACAATAAAAGCATGTTATTTAGACATATGGAGATAAGTATGAAAAGAATCACCTAAGGAAACTGAATGTGGTTGCCTCATAGAATGAGTTAGAAGACCTTTCTTCTGTTTAAAATCTCACAGAACTATTTGAATCTTTAAGCTAT